CAAATATAAGTAAACATAACAAAGCTAAAATTTTTGATACTGTTAATACAACTGCAACATTTTAAGCTTTCAACGCTAGTAGCAAGATTAAAAGAGAAAAAAGTTTAGGAACAAAAAAAAAAGCCTTTTCTTTTTCAAGTATTATTTTTACCCACACAAACAAACTTGTCTTAGCTATTTATAAATAGCAATACAATAACAATTTAATAATACAGTAGTCAAAAAGCTTACTGTATTTATATTTAATAATATTAATAAATATTTTTGCTTTAACAACACTCTTTTTATTGTATTAAAAGTGAATATCTTGGTTATTTTTTTAAAATTGCTATACAAATATTACAAAAAAAACATTTATTATATACAGTATGATATATAGTATACTAAAAAATATAATTTATTTTTTTTTAATAAACCCACTAAAATGTTTATCTTGCTAATACAATTCTAACAAGTCCAAAATCATTAAATCTTTTATTGAATTAACCATTTTAATTAAAAATAAATTTGTAAGTCAAAGAGCTATTTAATATTAAAAAAAAAAATTAAACTATATCCAAAAATGCATAATTCGCAAAAGAAAACATACCTATCTAAAAATAGATTATTATGAAAATTATAATAATTTATTTTTAGATAAGTACGTACGTTTTTTTTTGGCGACACTGTTATTGTATGGAATAACCCAGTTACACATGGGTTCATATTCAGTGACGAAGGCACAAGATTTAAATTATTGCGCGGTAATAACCCCGTGCCAATAAGTAAATGAAGGTTGTCACATAAGACCTGTGTAATAATAAAAATATATGACTAAAAAAAAAACTTGATTGAAAAAAAGTACTACAGTCAAACTTTCATACCACCATAAGTGTATAAAGGGTGTGCATTTATAGAGTGTAGTTTTATTGGTGCCATTATTAGTTGGGAGTGAGGCATAGGGTGCAATTATAGAGGGTGTGCATTTATAGAGCATGCATACATAGAGGTTTGACTGTAATCAAATACTAAAATCAAATATAATATCATATAGTTTAAAATTAGAATTAGAGTTAGAATAAGATTAGAGCAAGGTAATAATCTAAAATTTTAAAAAAAAGTTGATTTCAAAATAAGATAAAAAAGAGTTTTTTGATTTCAATTGATCTAATCTTACAATACATCACAGTACTCCTGTTCAAATTTAAACTCAATTTAAAAATTATCTTTGATACCAATATTTGGCTTGAATTTGATAATAAATATAATGTTCTTTCTTTTACCAATTTCATAGAAACAATATCTAATTTCATTTGTTCTAAACCGGTTTTTATCTTTGCTAATTTTCGAGAAAGATGAAGTCTTCATCCTTTCCAACTCCAATTCTATGAAAATATCCAACATGATTTGTTCCACCAGTATGGTCTGTCAGCAAAAAACTGATAATATCAGCTGGATAACTGGATTTTACTTTTTTTTTTTTTTTTATTAAAAAATTATTTTCTTTATTATACAGTTACACCCTCAATAATTTCATTAAGAAAATCCACCTTAACTCATTATCTTCTAAATACAATTGAGGGTAATATTGTTGGCTATTTGAGTAATGAAATATCGATATTTTCTGGTTGTTTTGACAAATACGCTATTGTAAATTGACATTTTGATGCTATTACTATCTGGTTCGGGAGAGCGAGCTACAACGATATAGTTTCAACTCTGATAGCAAACTGAAGAGGGAAGAGATGGTAGAAATAACAGAAGCGAAATTGTGTATACACATGGCTCTCGATATAACGGATATTGCTTAATACAAAGAATTATAATGGAACCAAATGGGCTGCCGTCAATAGAAATCAAGCGGATTGATATTTAAAAAAAAATTATATATTGATGAATTTTAGGCTATCTTGATGTATTAATATTCAAAAAAAAAGTCTAGATCTTAAGCTTTCTTTTATTATTATTAATTCATCAAAATTCATCGAGATATGGGTTATGATTCGGTAGCCCAAATTATGATTTACTATAAAATCTTTATATCATGAGATTCTAATATTATGGAGCTTTTGACATAACGGAGCAAAGGACTGGAATCATGGCCTCGTTATATCGAGAGCCACGTGTATCTATGTTACGAACTCGAGTGGTAATAATAAGATAGACAATAACAAGAAAGGGTTATTTAAATAAAAATAGGTGATTCAATTATTTTATAATATTGGGATCATAATAAATAAAAATAGGTGATTCAATTATTTTATAACATTTGGATCATGAAGTATTAGGAGAATATTAAATATTAAGAAAAAATAAAAAAATATAAAATCATAAAAGACAAGGAAAGTAAATGTGCCTCGGATCGATTCTTGTCTCAGGTGTCAATCGGCCTAAGTTAGGGTTAGAGCTAGAATAAGGCTATAGTTTAGGCCAATTAATGCATCCAATTTAACATCGGAAAATTTAGCACAAAATATATGAAGATTGGTGATATTCTCAGTCGCCAATAGGGATGGTAAAAAAACAGCTTTAAACATTTTTTCATCGATTAAAAACAGGTGATGATTGAAGTCCGAATAGTATTATTTTTGAACCCGGCCCAATTTTATATATGAAGTGTATAGTAAGATTTTTGTCTGTATATTTTAATATCATAATCATCCCCTGTTTCTAATTATGTAATTAAAACTTTTGCCATCTTTATTCACCACGACGACATAAGGTCGATTAGCTTAAATGGTATTGTAAATACTGTAAACCCGAATTTGTTAGAAATTTTCTGAGAGAGCGTCCGCAAATAGGGGATAGATTAATGGCGCAGCCAGATCGATCTTCGAAATTCATCGGAACTAGGCCGGGTCAATTCTATTATAGCAAAATAATCATTTGAGCAACTTTACTTACTTTACTTACGTTAGAGTTGTAAAATTGCCGTAATTTTGTGTAATTCACTAATTTTCTGTAAGTTTTCTAAACCAAAATTTCACGTAATTTTGATCATGTGAATAACTCTAGTCAACATTTCATTGTAAATAGATTAATAATACTGGCCAAACATTCATAATGTCGGTGAAATAATCATGTGCATATTACAAATTTGTGAGTTACCGTGTAATTTATAGGGATGTTGGTCGGTCCTTTGGGATCGGGTCCCAACCGATCCTTGAAAGGGCCTGGGGTGTTACACGCCAAATGATAGTTCACATATATAATAAAATCAAATTGTTAGGATTTTATAATGGGAATTATGGGAATTTAAAATCTCCGGATAGATCTTTGGGCAGATTTGATCTTTTTTTTTTTTTCAAACCGCATTTATTGCATTTATTGTTATTCTTTTTTAATGCACTAATTTATTTTTTTTTTAAAAACTCTTTTAAAATATCTTTAGTAGCCGCCTCACCAAGCTTTTCATTGGCCTTTTTAGTCAAGTTACTCTGTCGCTCTTTTCAAACAGCTATTAAATCTTCACGATCAAGTATTACTTGGACTAGAGAGAAGTAGTCTTGCTTCCTGTAATTTGTCAGCCATATTAGGGTGAGTTTTTATATCATATCTATTGAACATTCCTTCTAATTGCTGTTGGTGAATTATAATTGACCAAATTCTATATTTAACAAAGTCATATATTAAAGAAAAGTTAGAGAGTTCTCATGAATTGGATGTTGAGAAGATAAGGAATTGTTCTAAAAACTGTGGATCTTTTAATGCATTTAATAACCCAAATGACTGAATATTCCCTTCCAATTTATCTTTCTTTAGCAATTCAGTATATTGAAGTTCTTTTCTTGTTGGTTCAATATTTAATGGTCGGTCTAAAAAAACATAGCAAATGCTTCGTACAAAATCAGGACCATTACTACCACCTAATAGACATATTGTTAATGGTAAATAGATCCAGCAACCTATCCATTTTAAAAATCCTTCCTGAGCTTTTTCTAACCCAGATTTTATACTATGTATTAACATAGTAAGTTCTTGATCAGGTAAATTTGAATGTGCTTCAGTAATTTGGTTTTCAAAAATAATATAGAGGTTATTAATTGCACTTTGTAATTTATCAAGCCAAAATAGAACTTGATTAGTAAGTTCATGTATGCAGTGCCCAGGAGAAAGGCATTTAAATATATTATTTTTTAATACCCAAGGTATATTATCAAATCCAATTAGAAATTCGAAGAATTTAAATAGAAAAAGTTGCCGAATTGCACCATACATTTTATTTGAATATTAAGTTTTGCATTATTTATCCAGTCATTTAAGACTTTCCATTGTTTAGCATATCCTTCAGGTATGTTTTTAAATTCATTAAGTTGTTTATTGAACCAAGATATGAAAATATTATGAGCATTATAATTTTCAAGATATTGACCCGCCATTATTAATTAATATCGCCATTGGCTCGAGATAGGTTTTTGATATTTTTTTAAGTTATATTGTAGAAGTGTCCAATATAATTTACGAATTGTATTAGATTTCATATTTAGTGGATATTCTTTATTACTCTCACTATAACTGTCATGAAGATAGTAGACAAGTTGGAGAAGATTATGAGGATGTTCACATAAAGATAGTTCCGACACAGTATTCAATTTTCCGAATGCAGCATTTTTAAAAGCAACTAGAGCTATTTGTAGCGCATGTAGACTGCACGGAATTCTAAATGAAGACACGTTTGTTTGCGAATTAAACTCTACAACGGCGCCCGACTTATTTCCTGACATATATGCTGTATTATCGGTAAGCCAAAACTAACACTGTTTTGGATCTAAATTATTTTTTTCAACTGTTTCTTTTACTGTCTTGGCTACCGTGGCTCCATTACATTTATCCAAGTCTTTCATTTTTGCAAGAGTAATTATTGATTGATTTTTAGATGTATTCCAATAGGAAAAACAAACTAGAAACACCTTTTTATCTCCTCTTGTACTCTCGTCAGCCATTACACCATATGAATAAGAAGATGAATGTGGGTCTCCTGGCCGATTTTGATGAAGTGATATTTTGGCAACTTCTTTATTCTACCGAGAAAGAGTTCCTGTTGATATCCAATGGTTTGGTGGTTTACCAATAAGAAAAGTTATTATTTTTTTAGTATATTCTGTTGCTGCTGAAAGAGAAATTGTCTCAATGTTGCTTATACTAGTAGCAAGTTTAACGAATTCAGTTGAGTATTCATTATTATTTTTTATCATTTTGTTTACTGCTTTTTTAAATTGATCTTTAGTAATTTTTTTTGATTTCTGAGCAACAGACCGAATTTTAGAAATATAGTCTTGCTTTGCTTTCTTTGCCTTTATGATCTTCATATAAAAAGATTTAAGTTGATTATTCGAATTTGTTAAAGATGTTGCTAATTTTTAGTTTTCAGTTGCTAATCATTTTAGTTTATTTTGCACAGCAGAAGCAAATGAATAGTGCTTAAAAAGACTACTTTCTAAGAACTCAATTGCTTTTTTTTGTAGATAAGGTGATATTATTTCGCCCTTAACTTTGCCTTTAGAATATGTCATAATGTTTATCAGACTTTCAATTTTTAGGATCTCATTATCTGGCAAACTTTTTATTTTATCGATTATTGTATTGAACTTTTTTTCAATAACACTTTGCCGTTGGGAACTAATCGAATCAATGTAATTTCATATATTTATTAATTCATTTTGATCCAAGGAATCAATTAGCTTATAGAGGTTTGGCTGTTGTGGATTTTTTGAATTAATATAATCTTGAACTTTTATTAAAGTTTCGTTTTTTAAAGAATTTATAATTTCGCAAATATTAGAATATTGTTTGCTTGATTCGCGATCTTCAGTAATTTTTATTAAATGTCTTTTTTTCTTTGTATAACAACCTATTTTTAGTTCAAATTGAACAAAAAACTTATCCAAATATACATTTTATTTTCAATAACAAAACTCAATATAGTGCAGAAAAGAACTCTTCCCGCAAATCACTTTACCAAAATAGGAACAAGAAGAAAAAATTTTCCTGCAGCGATATCTCTAAAATTTACTAAGTAACTTAAG